AACTGAACTATTTAGAACTACTTGAGATTAGGGCTGTGCGATATGAACAAAATCTCATATCCCGATATAAGAATTCTATCGTCGATAACGATATAAATCACAAAAATCTAACATTTTCTGTAAATTCTGTGAATCTCGGGCAGCTCGACTTGCGGGAAGTGTTTCCAGCTGCGCGTCATGTAGCTGGAGTCGAGTGTTTTAACCGATGCATGAAACTATACATTTTTAGACATAAGTTGTAAAGGCCGCCGTTTTCTTTGTGAGGATTTATTACACAGCGTGCTGCGGGGAAAAGCCTGTTCTAACGTTTGAGTCTAAGGTTTCTTTTTTAGCACCTGGCGGCTCTTTTTTGCTTCTCATCCGTAAATAATCTGCTCTTTCACGTGATTCAGTTTATTTTGAAAAGTCTCAACAGGATCTTGAGCTTTATTGTGAAAGGTTTATGTGGAACATAAACAAGCGGACACGCGATGGTGTTACCATCCTTGTTGCTAACCACAACGCATAAAAAGAGGCGCTTGTCCGTCTGTAGTGTGTTTATATTAAATATAAGAGAAAGAGAGAACTTTAAGAAATTAATATAGCCACTACAGTGACCATCAAAACGATGAAAAAATATTACAGTAAGCAGTTTATTTTGCGACACCACGAAACAAACGATAGCGTAAAATGAAACATAGACGTTTTTATATCGTCATCCGATATATATTGTTATATCGAACAGCCCTACTTGTGATTGCCAAGTACTTAAGAGAGGAGGGTGCCACTCCTCAGGAATATTCCTGCTGTTTTGAGTGCAATCAGCAACAGCGTCCATCTACAACTGTGATGCTTAAATGTGAGAAATTTCTGCCTCAAAAGAAACGGCACAATTTCTCAAAAACAAAAATGTACTGAAATTTAAGCTACAAATCTAATCCTAGCGTTTTGGCTCATACCTTTATCCTCCTTGATGGTGAGCATAGGGAGAGCATAGATGATGTTATAGGAGGTCAGAGGAGCACTCAGGGCACAGCCGAGGATATCCTACAAAGACCAAAAAAAAAAAAAAAGGCCACTGAATTAGATACACGAACTGCTGGTTTAATATTAGATAGCATTTTATTTTTTATTCCACTGAAATTAAATAAATCCATCTAAATGATCTGAACTTATTTGCTGTAGCTGGAAGCAGCACATGAAAAAAAGTAGTACCTGTCCCAGTACTTCCATTATTACTGGCACCACTCCATTTTCCTTGGTGAAGCCCTGGAAAGACATATTCCTGGCAGCCCTTCTGGTGGAGATGAAGACGTCCCCACTGGTTGTCTCAAAAGCAACATACTTCATGTCAGGTCTCACCCAGCAGTTGGTCTGACCAAACATGGTCTCTGGTCTAAGTGTAGCAGCCACCAGGAAGATGTTTTTGCCTTTCATACCGCTGTGGGAAGTACCGAAACTAAGGCTTAGTGACAGGATTTAAAAAGGATGACAGTTATATTCAAGGGGATTAAATCAGTCTTTCTTTGTAAACCTGTCATCTCCAAGAAAGTTTTATTTTCTTTTATGTGGAAGTACAGCATTAAGTATTTGTTACCTGCTATAAAAGACCTTGGATTTGAATTTTGCTGTGTAGGGTTCAACGACCTTCATCTTGATCAGGGTGTATTCCTGAGGTCCAACTCCCTATAAGTGAAGCACAAATGTTAAGGAAGAAAATTTGATAAATAAAAGTTCCTCAATCACTACAATTTAAATTGTAAGAAAGTTTTGTGGTAAAATAAGTAAAACAAACATTTTTAAGCATTTTCTGCAGTAAATCTGTGGTTAAATACGCCTCAACATTGTCACTTTATTAGGTATTAAGTCACTTTGAATGTGGCATTGTTGTTGCTGCTGTTATTAGTCTACTTGGTTTTTATGACACAACCATCTCTAAAGACAGAATGATCCAAAAAGTAGAAAACTGCTTCGACCTGATAGGAAAGCAACAACAACTGAAATAAGCCCTTGTTACAGACAGAAGGACATCTCTGGATGCACAACATATCAAAACTACGAAGCAGAAGACCACATGGGGCCCCACTCCTGCTAGTTCTTGTTCTGACAAATCTGCAGCAACTATGTGATGCTATCATGTCAATATGGATGGGGCCAACCCTCACCACTAGTGAGGTGTACCTAATCTTAAACAATACTACAGTTTCAGAATAAATCATTTTTTCTGTCAAGCTGAGGACGTCTACCTCTCCTGTCTGTCTGTCATGGTCCATGCATGGCTGTCCATCCTTGGGACAGTAGATGGTATACCTGCAGGGGAGTTCAGAATAGTCACGATATAGACTCAATAATATAAACAGAATATACAGACTCAGAATAGACTCAAAGAAGACTAAAAGGAAGACATCAAATTAAACAGAATTGGGAAAGAAAGCCACTTAAAAAAAACCCAGTCATATATAAACTATGATGATTTTTTCCCTATATCATTAAAAAAACAAAAACCTTGTGGTAGACGACAAGAAAACCTGAAAGCATCTCACCTTTTACCAAATTTGATCTTTTTCCTCTCTTTTAGAGTAACAAACTGCCACCTGACAAAGGAGTCGTAGAAGGGGTTCACGTCTGTGGTGATGAATGAACGCCTCCAGTCCACCTATGAGGTAATGACATAACAGCATGTCAGCACAACTGAATAAATTCAGTGCCTTCCTTTAGCCAGGAAAACATGGATGCATCAATGTCACTGTACTTTTTGTGTCTCTTATTTAAAAATTACAATGTTTTGCCACATGAAACTGCATGAATGTTTAAAAGGTATGTGCAGTTTAGTCTTAAAAATAATTTTAATCAAACCACAGAAAGATAAAACAAACAAACAGAGAAAGCCACCTTGACTCCCATCCCTTTGAGATCTTTGACAGCCAAAGGAGGGAAGTAATCCAGCCAGTGTTCAGCATCAGCAAACTTGACAATCTCCTGGTCAGTTAAGCCCAGAGACCTCATGATGTCCCACTGGAAAGCGGTGGATCCAGATTTGGCCACTGCTTTACTCTGGCAAAGAAACAAGAAAGAGATTGCAGAATGTTAACAAACTTTCTTTTATCTGAAAAAATGAAGCCATACACTACTTAGATAACAGACTAATTTTTTACACCTTCAAACCAAATTTTATGGTACTGCTTTCATCTTAACTCTGCAAATTCTGTCCTGGGTAATAAAGGCCTTAAAAAAACAGCTCAAGCTTTTGTCATAATAGCATAAGTATAATAAATTCATTTTGAAAATAGCATTTCTGCCCTGTGATCCTAACCTTTTTGCCCTTTGCTTTGTCCTTGATAATGATTTCATCAGATGTTGTTTGCTGTTGTTTCTCTTCTTCCTCCTCCTCTGGAAACTGTGGAGGGTTTCCATACAACTCCATCTCTCTCTTCAGCTTGTCTGCACAGGCCTGATGGATACAATTATTGATTAAAAATATCAGAAAAAACACAAAGATCTGTTTAAGAGAGATGGATTATGACAGATAGATAGTAGCATAAAACAGTTATGTTAAAAGTTGATTTTGGGACAATAAGAACAAACTGTAATTGCATGTTTATATGATGAAAAGTGATAAGATTATGTCAGATTATAGACACCTAGAAATCTTATGAAAAGTTTCTGAATAAAAAAAACAAACCCAACATTACTTACTTTGATCGGCATTCCTGTACAGTGCAACCCGAATGGAAAGAGGCATTTCTTTCCCTTAAGAGACTGGTAACCAACAGCAAACTGCAGGAAAACAAATGAACAACAATCGGTAAGAGACCACATATCAAATTTCTCAATCTTAACTTATTTGCAACAGGTGGTGACTCAGGTCGATGTCTGCCTTTAAACTTACCTCACATTTTGAAAAACTGAATGTATGGCCAAGGTGCAAACGGCCATTCATGTAAGGATAGGGAAAGGTGACCAGGTACTTGTTTTTACTTAGAAGGTAAAAAAAAAAAAAAGGTAAGGTAAGGTAAAAAACAAAGAAACAATTTAGCTGCAACCCAACAGGTTTTCCCAATATTGTAGTGTGAACTATGAAACAACATCAGACAACATGATTCAGCAGCAAAAAAAAATGTACTACATACCTATTACAATATATTTAGTTCTACAAGGAAGTTCTACAGAAACTACTTTCACATTCCAGTGTGCTGCAAATCTTTGGAAATCTTTCTTTATATATGGGCTTACAGTTGCATATTCTCTATCTGGAACAATTTGAGAAATACTGTAAAACTGTTCAGAAAACTGATCACGTAGTTGTTCTTGAAAACTGAAAAGATACTCACTTTGTACTTTCCCCGACTGTTGTCGGTGCATCTTGCTCAAATGTTCTCTCCCTCTCCCATTTCTCCTGGATTTCCAATTCAATCTTTCTCAGGAAGTCCAGCTTTGCTGTTCCTTTCCGCTCCTGAAATGTACCGTCGAGCAAATAATCACAAACTGAATGTCATAACAATAGCAGCCGCAATAGCCAGCTTAACAGAGTCAGACTTTTTTATTTCTGTAATTGTCTCAACAGCTCATGTTAGCTAACTTTGCTAACAGCCACATTGAATTAATGCTCTAAGGCAGAAATTTTCTTTTTTACAAAAAACTAGCATCAACCATTTCATACTGCGAGTAATTAAAAGATTGGACCTACCGTCATTTTGTCTAAAACTGCAAGTAGTTAGTTATACTGTTCAAAAAGAAGAAATAGTGTCTAGTTTGACAAGAGAAACCCACGCCACCGGTGCCTGGCTGATGACACCGTTCGCTTGGTTTTCTGGGAAATGTAGTCCATCTGACTTTTCAGACGTATCTTAACCTCTCTGTTGTATTTGCACATTAATTAGAATAGCTAAGATTTATTAATCTTAATTACTTTGATAAACAAATACAAGCCCTCATATGTGCGGCTTTTTTTTTGTTTGTTTGTTTAAATGCATAATAAACATCCGCCGTCGTGCTTGCGTTACGACAATTTGACCATGTTGCCATGCCGTAAAATATTTTGTACGACCTGCCTGTGAAGAGAGACAGAAGGCCTTAAAGCTTATAAATTTATAGACGATGAAAGTAGGGTTGTCAAAACGCTCTTTCTTTTTGTAGACAGTATTGTAGTCCTTCTCACAATGATCATAGAAAATGTTGAAGCCTTGAAATCGTGGCTGGCAAAGCTCCTGGAGCCGATGTGAGTATTGAAATGAAATGACATTTAGCGTGCATGCTACGTAGCTGCTTTAGCCTGCTAGCCGCTGGGTTAGCCTGGCATCAATGGCAGATTCTTGCACGAGTAGCTAACCATCGCTTGTTGGCCTTTCGAAGCACAGAGAGGCACTTTTACTTTTCATTAGTAATGATTGTGCATGATTTAGTGAGTTTGCTTGCGTTTGATGCACTGCGAATTCTTGATTCTGACACTATGGTAGTTAAGAACGCAGTTGGCGCACGGTAGTGTAACTTTATCACAGTTCTGTAGCAAGCTCCTAGCCTCCAACGTGTAGCCCCTCTTGCCTAAAACAGCTGTTGTATCTCTGGGAAAAGTTACTAATTAAAACTGTAGCTATTAGCTCGACATATTTCATAGTTAAATGCACACAAATACTTTGCCTTTGGAGTTTCCATAGTAACACATGCTTTGTAAGCGTTACGCTTTGTCTGTTTTGCTAACGCGAGATCCTAAAATTCTTTTAAATATGTTGACGAGCTCAAATGGGTAATGGAGTGCATTAAAGGATTTAAGTTACCCCCTCCCTCTCTTTTTTGTGCTGTTGGGACAACACACAGTCACTGTTTAATCAACTAATGGAGTAACTCCACAATATTATCGTTGTGTGTCCGAGGTTCATCCTCTAAAAATAAGGAGTTTTTTGCATAGGGGAGAAAAAGTCCTTGCAGAGCCAAAGTGAGGCGTATTTAAGCTGCTTTAACTAAAGGCTGGAGTTCAAGTAGGCATAGTTTCATTCACATTGTTATTACATTTATATTGTTGGTAATTATTAATCATTGGGAATTTCCATGGTCAATGATCCTGTAGTTAAGGGTCAAATTTGACTGTAGCTTTAGTGAGTCAGCAGTTAATTAACTACTAGCAGCTTGTTGCTTGAACTTAGGGCTGTTCGATATAA